GAACGCGTGCAAACGCGAGACAGCATCACAGCCGACTGAGTGATGTTCCGCGGGTTGCGTTCAACAGCCCCTCCACTTATTCAGCCATCAACGACTCCCACCACCGGCCACGATTGTGGCCTTTGCCGAGCCTTTGGCCTTGAACTTGGTTTCAGCGACAGCCGCACGAGGCGTAGCGCCGACCCATATATACTATATAGCTGAGCGAATGTACGCGGCGACGTAGCGGCCAGCGCAGCACACTAAAAGGAGAGGGTGTACGTGACTATCTTGTTTGCGTATGTGTATGCTCCGAGCGTGTGAGTGCGCGCGTATGTGTGTGTATGTATACCTGTGCACACCGATCTCTTGCGTATCCTTCTTTCTTCCTTTCTTCCCCTTTCGTGCGTGAACACGCGACGAAGAACGGATTCTAATCGAGACAGAATGAGATAGAGAGGGAGAGAGGAAGAGAGGATCCGTTGTCAGAGCGGAGAGATTCTTTCTCGTGTGCGCAGATGCGAATTTCCTTTGCTGGGGGTAAGCTACCCTCGACGACCTTGGACAACCCCTCGGCTCGCTGGCTATTTGCCCTGTCACCAGCTGCCGTCGTTGGACTTATCCCGTTCACGGACGATCGATCTTTCTTTCGTAGTTTTCGGATGATCACATCCTTTTCTGCTAACTGTTACTGCTAGATGTAACTGAGGTTTATCGCATCTGTGTTTACATCGGCGTGGCTCGAATTCGTTCCAAGACGAACGAATCGAATATATCCTCGAAACGTTCGGAGTTCGCCGGTTCCGGCGACCACGAGGTCATCGTGATCACTATTCATAAAGCGTGCCGTTCGAGTCACGTACGAGTTCCACCGCTAGACAGCTGCCGATCCGTGCGTGCACAGACATCGGCTCGAACATCATGACGGTATTCCGTCCCGAAGAGAGATCATTCGCGAACGTCTAACTGTATTCTTCCCCTAGCGAATATCATTGATCGCTGGTAACCATGTGTCATGTACCTCGTCAAAGAATCCTAATTAACCCCTAATCACGTCAATTAACGCGGGACTCTCGAGTCGAACCACTGGCCGAGCGACGGGAAAATCGAGCGCAATCGCTGGAGCAGGTTCCTCGCGCGTATCCAGTCGCAAATTGCGAGGCGGTCGAATCCAGTCATGTCGGTTTGGCGGGACTGTCCGAGGCGAACATGCGCCCGAGTGCCAGGTAGCTGTGAGTCGCGATGAGGGGAAAGGATGGAGGGGAAGTTGACGCGTGACGGTGGTGGGGGAGAAAAACGATCGCGAAGGGGACGAAGTTCGCGAGGTCTCCGCATGGAGCGTAGCGCCACGCGACGGCGCGTTGTCGGTGCGGGTCGCTGGGTGGGGGGGAAGCTTGGACAAGGAGATCGGGCAATGCGTGGTAGGGGAAGGCGGGAGATGATCGAGATAGTGTACGCGCTGGCGAAGAAGTGGGAGGCGTGGAAGGAGGTGGAAGGGTCACCGGGTACGTAGCGGCGAGTAGCGGTACTCTTTCTATAGACGTGGAGTCGCATGCAAGCCGAGCAATGCCCGACTATTGACCCCGCGCCACGATCCACGCTGCTATCAGCGGAGGGACTTGCTTCTCAAACTTTGACTCTCTTTGTCCGAATAAAACTTGGACTAGATACGCACGCGTTGATCAACTCTCGATCGTTGGAATAAAAAGAATAAAAAGATACTTAACGGTTACAGGAATGTCGAAAGTAACTTGTTGATGTAAATACGAGAAGAATATGATTCCGTACCGGTTAACTCTAAAGAGAAGGTTCGAGAAGCTGGCGGCCGAATATTTCGGTCGAGTTCGATCTCCAAAGGAGATAGGGACGTTTATAGATCAGACGGCAGTAGTAGTTGCATCCGTGGCGGGCCACCGATGCTCCCGGGTCGTTGACCTCGGATAGGTCTGCGCGTCGTCGGTCGAATCTACTAGCGTCGATCTGCACGGCGGGAAAAAGAGGTCATCGGGCTGATCGGGATCATGGATATGGATGTTTCGAAAAGAAAGCAAACTCATCGCGAAAGGGACCACGAGGGGGATATATAATTGCGGCTGCTTTCTCAAACGGCCAACTGGCCACTTTCGCCCATTGCGACACTTGTGCTGTGTCGCGGGGAGCGGGGTTACGCAAACGGTCAACGACCCTCCNTTACGCAAACGGTCAACGACCCTCCACTCTAGATTTTAGAAACTACTTTTCGGTACAAATGTGCGCGTTACGCGATCACTAGATTCGTACATTCAACAGAATTCGTTTCTCGATTGCGTCGTCGTCCGTTTGTATTCCTATCGCCATCGCGATATTTGTCAACATTAATCGTACGAATTGAGAAAGAATTCTGTCACTGTAAATATATTCGCAACTTACGCGTAGTTGAAACGCGGGGGATTTATCTTTAATCAAGATAATAAAAAATGGACTCACCATCACGACTCATCCCGACAGCGATGCACTTCTTGAGGCGGCAATATTGGCAGCGGTTCCTGTTGATGCGCAGGATGCTGCACTGTTGATTCTTGGTGCAGGGCCGATACTGAATCTTCTGTTGAATGCTGCGCCGGAAGAATCCCTGCGAATCACCAACGAAACCCTCGTCAGTCTGACCGTCACTGTCCGATGAGGACCCCGACGAGCAATTGGTCCCCGTGCGGGGGGTGGCCAGGTCACATTCGCACAAGCACCCCATTAATTCACCCGGTCCCGGTCGTTGTGTTATCTCGCGGTTTTACACGGTCCCTCCTAAAGGCGATCGCGTGCCTTGCACGCGCACTGATCTCTCTCCTACTCTTCCTACTCCTCTTCCTCTTACGCGTTCACGTAGAATTACGCGCGTTACGCCGAGCAAGTCCAATAAGTCCGGGTATACGATAGATTCGCGTATCACACTCGGAACGTCCACCAAGACGTATCGTTTCGGTTGAACAAACTCACGGTGCTTCTCGAACCACCAAACTCACCAGCGAATCGAGCGTAACTGCTCGTAACTGTACGATACCATGCGAGACTCTGGACGCGAGTTTTCGGCGGGGGAAAAAGAAGCGACCGTTTGTATCGAGGCTTGGCTGTGGACTGGCTCTTTCTAGCACAGAGAGCATAGAGCCTCGGCACATTGCCTCTGGCTCGACGAGGTGGGGGACACTCTGACCCAATTCCCGGACGTTCACCCGCAGTTCACCGCGTGAAAGTGAGAGTCCCCCTTGCGCGCGCTCTGCCTCGCCTCGCCTCTCTCTCTCGCTCTCGCGCGCGCTGT